GTGACCCCTGCTCCATGGACTCCCCAGGTCTGTGGCCATTGTCACTTCTGACAGAGTTATTGCTGTCTATGCAGAGTGGTATTGAATGGAGGGGCGGGGGTGTCCTGTATCCTCTCCTCGGAGCCCTGCCGAGGCCCTTTGTCCGGAGTGACGTCAGGGCCAGAAGTTCGGGGCTGTTTGCCATGAAAAAGTAGCTTCTATTCCTGTTTCTTTTGTCTGGTGACCTGACCCAGCAAATTGCTTTCTGTTCCCTGAGCGAAGGGGGAAAACACAAGGGCTAAACATAGCCTCAGTTGTTTTTACTTTTCTGATATTGTACTTCTTCAAGCGATAAAGATAGTAACAATTAAAATATTATCTGCCCCTCAGACAGACCAAGTGGCCACCTGGCTGGTGTTGACACACAGTAGCAGCACTCGGTGTTGGACAGGGCTTTGTGTTTCCAGAGTATCTTAGACCTCACACTGCCAGCCAGACTCCCAGCCGCTTCGCACGCAGCTGTCCATGGCCTCGGGGAAGTGGGAAGTTGAAGGCAGAGCCCCTGGGGTGGACCTCGCTGGCCGAGGAGGGGTTACTGGGGCCAAGGATAAGGGGCAAGTGGCGCTCATGGCGTCAGATAACTGCCCATGGTGGGCTCTGCAGCTTTTATCTGCACATTATCTGTTCCTTCCTCTACCCACCACCGGCTAAAGTCTGCTCTGTGCCAGGCTCCATGCTGGGCATTTGTGGGCTGCGCTGGGTCTATGCTCAAGGGCTTATGGCTCCGTGGAAGCAGACGTGTAAACAGATGATTAGGGTTCAGTTAACATCTGAGCCATAAGATTGAAAGTCAGTCCCAGAGCCGTGGGAGCCCAGTGGCTAATGTGGGAAAGACACATGAGCAGAGAAGGTGATGTTGGAGTTGGTGCTTAAATGATGAGGAAGAGATTCTTTCTGGAAGTTAGGCAGGAGAACAGTGCAGGCCTATACAAAGGTGTCAGGGCTTGAAAGAGCTGGTGTTTGGGGGCAAGCTACAGATTCACTGCAGACACATGGCTCTCGCGTTTAACCGGGGCCTGGTGGAGAACGGGGTCTTCGTCATCCCCAAGGCACAGGAATCTTACTGCTAAGGTCATTGAGGGTCACCCTTACAACAGAGCAGAGTGCTTCCCACAGGCAGGCAGGAGCCCGTTAGAGTAGCCATCCAACCCCAGGCCCCACGGGGATTTTGACAGTCGACCTAAACAGACAGAGCCCCCCCTCCTGCGTGTAGATGTTGGCTGTGCGTGTTCCCAGAGCTGTTTCGTGAATATTCGTTTTATAAGGAATCTTCTTCAGGGCTGTGTACACAGACCAGAAGGGGTGTCCTGCCCGGGCTCTTCCAGGGATCGTCCAGGATGGTTTCGATTCTGCCTGCTTCTTGTCTGACTTCTGATGTCACAGGAAGTTCGTTGTGCCTGGAGTGGGGTGAACGGGGCAGGCGGCGAGTAGATGGATCTGGACGGCAGGTCAAAACTTTCCTGTTCTTTCTGGGAGGCCACGGGCGGCTGTATGGGGACAGACATGACAAGTGTGGGCCTCGGGAAGTTCTCTGGAGGCAGTGAGTGGGTGAGCCTGGAATAGGGAGGCCTGCGGGGCCCACGTCAAGAAGCACCAGGATCACGGGGTGGCCGCTGGGGAGGAAGGGTGCTGCCAGATGAGAGGGACTGAACCTTCATGCTTCACCGGCTCGAGGTCCCCTTTCTTTTCGTGACTTCCCTGGAAATGGGGACAGTTCCAGGGCAGGGAAGTTACAATGGAATGAAAAGTGGCATCCTTTGGGGGTGGGATCAGTTCTTTTTAGTTTCAGGGTTCCTCAGGGTCTGGATACTGCCTGTAGTGCCCCTCAGGTTCCCGAGGCAGGGCCACTGTGGCTCCAGGTGGGGACCCTCACTGCTCTGTGGCTGGGCCTGCTGGGTCCTTCCTTAGCCACATTCCTGGCCCATCTGGTGCCTTAGTGCCTTGTCCCAAAAGAGAAGTTGGTGGCCAGCGTTATTCTAAGGGAACTCCCTGAAAGACGGAAGGAGCAAAACCCAGTGGAGGTTGGGATCATAGGCCCTGACCCTGGCACAGCACCAGGCGGCTTCGTGGCCACGTCCCCCACACATGTGGAAATATATTTGTCCTGAAAGAGAATGTAGAAACTATAGCAAAACAAATAGGAAAAAAAAAAAAAAAATCAGCTGGCTCTCTCCCATTCAGTTATGAACATTTTGGTTTATTTTCAAAAGACTTTATTTGACAGACACATAGCGAGAGAGGGAACACAAGCAGGGGAGTGAGAGAGGGAGAAGCAGGCTTCCCACTCAGCAGGGAGCCCGATGCGGGGCTCGATTCCAGGACCCTGGGTTCATGACCCGAGCAAAGGCAGAGGCTTTAACCCACTGAGCCACCCAGGCGCCTGGTTTATTTTCTTTTAATTATCACATATAACATACATATTTTACAAAATAGGGATCATGCTATCTATCTAGTTTTTCTATCCTGTTTCTTTAGGCTTCGAATTATGTAATTAACATTTCTCCATATCATTAATATTCTTTGGAACTGTACTATCTTCATGCTCCTTATTATTCCCTGATCATTTATGTCACCAGCCCTACTGGAGGGCGTTTTAGTTGTGTTCATAATGTTGCTGTCACTCGTATCACTTTTTCTTTTTAAAATTTATTTATTTGAGAGAGAGTAGGTGTGAGAGAGCATGGGCAGGGGGGAGGGGCAGAGGGAGAGGGAGAAACAGCCTCCCCACTGAGCAGGGAGCCTAACTCGGGGCTCGATCCCAGGACCCTGAGATCATGACCTGAGCTGAAGGCAGACACGCTTCACCGACTGAGCCACCCAGGCGCCCACTTGTGTCACTTTGAAGAGCATCATTACACACAAATCTGCCCTTTTTTCTGAGGATAACTTTTTTTCTTGTAAATCAGCTAACAGTGACTCAGTTGATGTTAGCTTGTATTTCTTTTAATTTTACTTTATTATGAATTTACTGATCTTTCAGTTGCTGACGAATGTCAAATTGAAAGTGTTTTAGAAGAATCACGGCTGCTTTAGGGGCAGTGAGTAGGAAGACCTGTTTTGAACAGCATAAACGCTACTTGCGAAAAGGCAGCTTATGGAAATACTTTATCAGATTTTGTTAAAGGGACACGCATGGAGACCTGCTATCTACCAGGGCCCAAAAAGATTCCTGGAGGAGGTGAATTATACACTTGATGACTGTCCTGTTTTCTTTCCAACTGGTTTAAGGAAGAGCTTCTCCCGTATCTCCAGCTTCTGAGGCAGTCTCCTGGGAACAGCCTCTGGGCGGTTCCTCCTGTGTCCCCTGTCCAGAGTCCCAATCCCTTAGGCGTGTCTCAGGACTGTGGCAGGGTGGTCCACGTGAAGGAGCAGGCACATTTAGCCCCGATTTGGCTCATCTTTGGCTTGCAAGGCTCCTTTTGAGCCTCACTGGTCATTCCCTTTGAACCTGTCCAGTAGCTGCGGACACTGAGCACAGGGTCAGTCCCTCGCTGTGTCTCTCAGTGTCTTTTAAGAAGTGGCCCCCAATTGAGACGGACTTGTGGTCCTTGCTGACTGGTGCACTCACATGGGTTTCATTGTGGTTTGTCTGAGTGGACAGCCCGTTCTGCATGACTCAGAAGGTTGCTGAGGACAGCCCCGATGTTGGGCTCCTCTTCGCTGTGGTGTAGTGAAGAGAGCAGGGCGCTGGGGTGCGCCAGCCTGGGTTAGCCTCCAGACGATTTTTAGCTGTGTGGCCCCAGGCTACTTTCTCACCCTCCGTATGGGGCACCCGGTGGCTTCCAACCACCATCCAAGATATCTGCTCTGTGACCCTTGAAAGTGCTATGAGAATCCATGTGCATCAGACACCTGCCCGAATGTCATTTCATGTTTTGCTTCTGTCCTGACGAATGATGGACTCTAGCCGTAGTTTTCTGAGTATTCTCATGTGTACTGTTCATAAATGTGTGCAGATTTAAAAAAAAAAACAGAAACGTGCTGATATGTGGATCCCTGGTAGCACACGCTGTTTCTTAGCTTTGTTTTTGTATTATAACCTCGAGTACAAGAACTCGGTCAGGTGTATCTGTGCCCTCCTAAGGTCCTCAGCACAGTGCCTGATCCTTTAGTAGAAGAACACCAAATAGTTCCTGAATATTTCACTAAAATAAAGGTTCAGGTGCAAAATCAGCATTTCCTAGTGGGGTTAGCTTATTTATTCATATGTTCAGGTGGAGACCTGATGATGTAAGTTTAAATCATCCCCTTGTGTCTGTGCAGCCGAAGACACGCTTCTGCAGATTTTGACCACTTTAAACATCCTCAATCTCGGTGAGGGATCAGGTGAGCACAAGGAAGGTGCTCCATGATTGGCTGTCATTGCTGGTGATGTTGATATTATGGCCATTTTGATAGAGGGAGGCACAAATCAATACAGTTTCCGGTTTCTGTTGTCAGCGAGTGTTTTAGAGATAGAATTCCGAAGAGCTAACCTGGCGGCACTGCCCGCCCCATTTGACCATGACCCTTCCAAGTACCAAAAGACACCTCCTGGGTTGTGGTCTTCTGTCAGGGCGTCAAGCCCCAGCTTGAGCGGGGACGGAACTGCTACAGGCCGGGGAGGGTTGGGGCAGGTCGCCTTCCCACCTAGAAGAGGGGAAAGCGTTTGGGTGACAGTTGTGGTTTTGGACTTTCCCGGGAGGCAGTGTGGACTGTTGGAAAGAAAGCCGCGCCAGGAGGCCTGGGCAGGGGGTGTGTGCATCCCCGGCCTCGCTCTGCACCTCACTCCACACCGTGGGACTCACACCCCCGCTCTGGGCCTCCGTTTCTCATCCATAAAGCAAGGTTGGACTGGAGGGGCTTTGAAGGGCCTTCCCGGCTCCAAAGTCCTGTCTAAAATGGGCTCTTGGTTGTGGAGATGGAGGGCTGGCCTGGAGGCCTTCTCAAGTCCTGTTTTCTCTCTGTCGTTTCTGAACCAGAAAATGACAGATGGCGAGAGCTGGACAGGAAATGCCCTCTTCAGATCGGGCACCCGAGCGCCGGCATCTGGGAGTGCCTGCCTGAGAAGTGTCAGGATGGCCCCCTGTGGCACCGGGAGGCCGCGACCGCCTGCGCTGTGACCAACCTGATCAAAGACCTCAGCCTCAGCGACCACAACGGGAACCCCTCAGCACCCCCCAGCAAGCGCCAGTGCCGGTCACTGTCCTTTTCCGATGAAATGTCCAGCTGCCGGACATCGTGGAGGCCCCTGGGCTCCAAGGTCTGGACTCCCGTAGAAAAGCGACGCTGTTACAGCGGGGGCAGCGTCCCACGGTACTCTAACGGCCTCAGCACCATGCAGAGGAGCTCCAGTTTCAGCCTCCCCTCCCGGGCCAACGCGCTGTCCTCGCCCTACGACCAGGCGGGATTCCACCACCGATTCGGAGGTCAGCCTTGCCAGGCGGCACCAGGCTCGGCTGCCTGTGGACAGGCGGGTGACCTCTGGAGCCCCGACCCGAGCCCCGGGGGCGGGGGCCGGCTCGACATGCAGCGGTCCCTGTCCTGCTCCCATGAGCAGTTTTCCTTTGCGGAGTACTGTCCACCCTCAGCCAGCAGCACACCTGCCTCCACGCCAGAGCTGGCCAGACGCTCCAGCGGGCTGTCCCGGAGCCGCTCGCAGCCGTGTGTCCTGAATGACAAGAAGGTTGGAGTCAAGCGGCGGCGCCCGGAGGAGGTGCAGGAGCAGAGGCCTTCCCTCGACCTGGCTAAAATGGCACAGGTAAGAGCCCCAGCCCCACGGGAGGCATTGCACAAGCATCTCGGTGCTCACGGGGGCCGCTGCTGGTCCTGGCCTGTCCCGGGCAGAGGCGGAGCGCCACTTTCAGAAGTGCCCAAAAGCAGATTAGGAGTCCTTGTTTTTTAAGTTCTCTTCAAAGAAAGATGAAATTGAATTTTTTTTTTAAAGATTTTATTTATTTATTTGATAGAGAGATCACAAGCAGGCAGAGAGGCAGGCAGAGAGAGAGGAGGAAGCAGGCTCCCTGCTGAGCAGAGAGCCCGATGCGGGGCTCGATCCCAGGACTCCGAGATCATGACCTGAGCCGAAGGCAGCGGCTTAACCCACTGAGCCACCCAGGCGCCCCGAAATTGAATTTTTTAAAGTGTCTCTTTCTCTCCGTTTAAAATCAGAGACACAATGCTAGCGGTATTGGAGCAGACAGATGGTGAGAGGCAGGGTGTTGGGGAGGCATAGACCATTGTCATCAAACCCCGGTGGTCCCCTTCCAGCACTTCGCTGGAGCCTCTGTCCCCGGAACCCAGCCCTGCAGCACAGACCAGTATTCACTGACACTTGGATGATGCTGGCCCTGAGGTCAGGACCATGGGTCATGGTTTCAGAGGGTGGGAGATGGGGGGAAAGCACTTATTCCTTTGATTAAACTGTCAGCATCACGAGACCAGAAAGTATGACTGCCATCCTCTGTGCCACCTTTGTAATCATCCCCACTCTTGGCTAGGCGAGGCCTCAGGCCACATGCCCTGGCCCTTGCACTCTGTCCTCTGTGTCTTAGAGTCCTGCCTTGTGCTAACACAGAGCTCAGAGACCGGTTTGAATGAGATGAACTTGGAGTGAATACACTAACTATGGGACAGTCTCCGAGCCTGGGTGCCAGCTGTGTTTGGTTCTTACGGAGGAGGCCTGGGCAAGACCGTGAGGTTCAGGGACTAGGGTTGGCCCTTGTGACCCAAAGTGGGGACGGGTGGGTGTGGTGGGCAGGGTGCAGTCTCTCTCTTCTGTGTCCTCACAGGGGACCCTCCGGTGCTTCATGGTACGGTTTAACTGTCGACTTTGCATCTTGTCATGGAAGCACTGGTCACCGCGGTGTGTTAAGGGATGGAACCTGGCTGGCCTTGCTCATGCAGCATGTGGCCCCCTCCGGGCAGGAAGACTCACGTACCCCTCCTCTCTGTGGGCAGGACGGCCTCCCTTCAGTGCCCGGAGCTGCTTTTGCCTTAGAACAGAAATGCTGCTTCTGTAGATGGCATTTCCTTCATTTCTCTAGCCTCCCCCCACCCAGTCTAGAGGTCCCCACCCCTGCCAACAAAAGAAGAGGGGCAGGTATCTTGAGCCTTGAGCATGCACCTGGCCCCAGAGTCCAGACTGTCTGGCCCTTTGCTCTGGAGCCCGGCCCTGGCCTGGGGCAGCCAGAGGACAAGCTCATGACTTGCTCTGCCCTCCCCTGTGCTGCTGAGGCTCCACCCTCCGCCCCCGCACTGTCCAGGTTCCATCACTCCTCCACGGGTGTCCCTTTCTTTTTCCTGAGTAGTGGACATTCTTTGCTTTACTAGCTAGGCAACATCAAACCCACGTTCATTTACTTGGACACATGGCTAGAATTTTCCTTCCCTGGAGAAATTTAAATAGGTAAAAAGGCTGGAAAGGTGACAGATTTAGGTGACTTTCGGAGGGAAACCCAGAGCCCTGAGTCCTGGCTGCGATAAATTGCTTCAGTTAAATTTTTAATGTTGAGCTTATTTTATTAGCTAATAAGCTAGATAGGTAATAAAAGCAGCTTACACATGTTATTCTGTTTTACTGCCCACAAGTTGGAGTAACAGCACGGGCATCACTGGAGACGTTTCCCGTCCTCACTTGGGTAGAAGCTGTTTGAAAATATATTGCTCGGTGGGGCTGTGCCCAGATGTGTAGATTGCTTCATTGGCTCCAGGCAGGCCTCCAAGATCCTGGGGAGGCCGCCCTGATTCCGCCTGGTTTTCTCTAGCCAAGGCCTGGGTAGGGCAGAGTCCGGGGAAAGTGAAGACGGGGCCCCTGGGAAGGGCGTATGCCAGAAGGGGGAGGCCAGAACCCTGGGGATGGACCCTGAACCAAACCACCCCGACCAGGCCTCCGGAGCCCCAGGCAGCCCTCTCTCCACGGGGCCCGGCCTGCTTTGGCTCCCCTGCTGGATAATTTATGGCCTCACGAGGTAGACCTTGCTTTTACAGGAGCTTTGAAAGGCAGGCCTGAGGCAGCCCCTGTACCTTTGCAGAGAGCCCTAGATCCATCCTGGAATGTGAAGGACCCTGTGCCTGGGAACCCCATGAGCTGAGCCTGTCACTGGCGTTACAGACACCTGCCTATGGCCAGGTGACAGCTGATATGGGACTGCTGCCCCCAGATACCAGCCTCTGTGGGCTGCGGCTTTCTGAGCGTTTGTCACTGCTGGGGAGGTAGCAGGGTCTGCTCATTTCTGGGAAGACAGGCTTGCACCAGGGGTCGGCGCAGCTCTGTTTCTCCAAGCTGGATCTTGGACTCTTTTTCATAGGTCTTGTGATCTTAGTTTAGAAATACTCACTTATGGCGGGGTGGGGGGGGTGGCGGGCAAGGGATGCTAATTGAGCATCTTTGTGAAGGAGCCCCTTTGTGTAGATCTGGGACCAGATGTGTGAGATGGGTGCACAGTGCCTTTTCGGTTGGAGTGACTGGGAGTTCTGACAAACCCCAGCTTCCTGCAGGCGCTGACTGGGGCTGAGCACACCTGCCGGCCTGTGATGAGCACGCAGGACCTCTCCTCCAGCTGTTAGGGTGCCCAGAGCAAGGCGGGTACCCAGAGCCCCTCCAGCCTCGTCCATTATGGCCCCTCCTGAGATTCTTCTGGAACACGGTGTTCACTTTTGGGTCTGCATTTGGAGGCTGCAGGGGGGGCATCAGCACATCAGAAGGCCTCCAGAGGAGTGGCAGGAGGCTGGCAGCCCTGGGCACACAGCCTCCCATTTCTGCACAGCAGATCATACCACTGCTGCCTCTGCCGCCGCTCCTGCCCCCTTGGACTGTTGGGGTCGGGGGGAGTAAGGGAAATAGTGTGCATGCGTGCGCACGTGTGTGAGATGTGTCGGCGTGTATGCGTGCATCCGTATCTATGGAGACGTCTGTGCATGTCTCCTTGTTGGTCTCTGCACGCGCACACGCACACACACACACGCGCGCACGCACGACCCGGCGCCCTGGCTGGCGTGTGTTGATGGTTACCATCAGCATTGCTGCTGCGTGTCTTGGGAGGGAAGGCATGGGCTCATTGTGGGCGACTCCAGAGGTGGAACCGGGAGAGAGGGTGACGGTCCCAGGAGGCACACTCCGTGCATGAGAAGGGCTCCCTTTTTTCTGTATCTGCCCATGTCTTCCCTTCTGTTTTTCCCCCTCCCTTTTCTGTCCTTGCTGTTTACTTCTTCTTCTTTGTTCCTCTTCTTGCCTCATCCTTTCCTTTTGAAAATGGGAAGGAGCCTGCCCTGCGGCTCAGCCCGGCCCGTGGTGAGCTCCATGCTCAGAGCCAAGGGGCGTGAAGTGGTGACAGAGTTGGAATTGCTACCACCAGAGGAGGGGGCTGTGTGTGGGCGTTTTGTGTCACGCCTGTCGCCCACAGGGCTAGGTAGACATGATCCTGGGAGCCCACCAGAGGCCCACCCCTTCCCGGCCTCATTCCTGGGTGCAGCTGGCCCACCGGCTGACAGCAGTGTCCCTCTCAGGCAGCGAGGCCAGGGTGCGGAGCGTCCGGAGCTAGAAATCACTTTCACACTGTCTGCCTTTGCTCACGTCTTCTTAAAACCTCAGTGCCCAGCTCGTGGGCAGGGATGCCGAACGAGGCTGCAGGTGCCCCAGCCATCTGGCTTCTGAAGGAGGGAGGATGGTTGCAGAGAGGATGGTGCCCACTGGGAGGAATGCCACCAGGACCCGGCCCAGGAAGGCCCAGCCCGCCCTTTTTGTTGTCCTCGCCACCACTCGGCTCTCGGAGCAGCTGCTTGAAGGCGGCCCAGAGGGGCAGTCAGGCCTGCCCCTGCCCAGGTCACATTTGGCTGACCTCCCCCTCAGCTTTCCCCACGTGACCCCTCCTGCCTGGTGTTTTATGTGAAGCTGAAGCCTCTGTTTGCAGAATGACAATGTGTGCCATTGAGAGCAGGGCCCGGCCTGAGCTCAGGAGTTGTTTACTGGCGGGACTTTGCTGACGTGATTAGTTACTGCTTCTCTGAGACCAGGCTTGACTACCAAGCGCTGGTTGACTCCCAGAGAGGCCTGAGCTGTGCATGGCCCTTTAGACACAGATCACATATATGTGAGCAAAGATCTCAGGAAAAAAGCGATAGTTAAAAAGATGACCCACGGAATGCCGTGCCCCTGGGTGTCCCAGTCTTGCTGTATTTTTAATTCTGAGCTAGTTGGCTTGCAGGGGCAGCCTGTGTATTTCTCAACAGTGCTTCAAACAGAAGCGAGGCGTTTGTGAGGAGGGTCGGGATGCTGAAACAGAGGTTTGATTGATGGCAGCTGCCCACGCGCTGAGTCCTCCAGCCTCCTGGAGGAGAAGCCCCAGAAACAGGAGCAACTGTTGTGTTAGCAGATGTGCGAGGGGCCCAAGAAAGCTGGCCGGGGGCGGCGCAGCGTAGGGGAGCAGCCTGAGACTAGAAGCTCTGCTGAGAGTTGATCCAGGACTCGTCTCCGGGACAGCCGGGTTGGCTGGGGCTGTGGGGGCTCTGCGGGGTAAGGCACTGGTGCCGGAAGCCATCAGAGGGGTATCACAGACACTCATCGGCAGGGCATCCCTGGGTCAGCCTTCCACTCTCCGTCTAGCTTGCCAGTGGGGGCTGCCTTCCACCAGGGAGGGGCCCTCCTCAGCCACCATGTGGGGTGGCCCTTCACACCCCTGGCTGCGTGACCTCCCTCCTCAGGCGGCCCCAGCAGCCCCACCCAGCTGTGCTTTTCCTTGGCAAAGTCCCTGGGCTCAGGCC